TTGACTGAGTTGACTGGTTGGATTTGTTGACTTAGTTTGACTTTGACTTGACCAGAATTTGACGGTTGTCTCATCATGTCATTGAAACATTCTGTAGCCCCATTCTCTACTGCTTCACAAGCATACCCATGAGAAAAGAAGGCTCTGCACCAGGTTTTAGATTTCCTTGCCATAAGATAGGTGTAGCCTGTTTCTGTTATCTTATTTATCTTATCCATTGTAGCAAGAAAGTTCCCTTCCACTGTACTCATAGCAGCTTCCCAGAACAAATTCTTTAGCTCTAATCCTGTGAATTTCTTCCTAAAGTTTGCAAAGATGTGTCTAGCACATTTTCTATGCTCAACATGGGGGAGTAGATATGTCATAGCCTGTAGAAGTCCCTATAATTAACAAACAAACACAGCACATGCAAAAATTAATGAGTGTTACATATAAATATATATTGTATACTAATATATGTTGTTGGTACCTTGCGTTGGTCTGAGATAACAACCAGTCCATTTCCAGCACCAAGATCCAAATCAGCAACCAAATTCTCAATGAACCAGGTCCAATTGTCCTTATTCTCAACATTCATAACTGCCCATGCTATTGGGTAGACATGGTTGTCTTCATCCCTCCCAATATCAGTTAAAATCTCCCCCTTTACCTTCCCCTTCAAGAAACTACCATCTAGTCCTATTACCCTTCTACATCCTCTGTTCCATCCATCTCTGAAAGCCTTGAAGCTAACATAAAACCTTTTGAAATAGTTACACCCCAGATTACTTTCTACTCCCACCAAGCAAGTTGTACCCAGATTACTCAACCTAATTGCAGCTGCATAGTCCCAAACCCTGGCATAGCGGTCTTCTAACTTCCCTTCTATTATCCATATTGCAGTAGCCCTTGCTCTTTGGCATTGCCCAATAGATACACTCACTGAAAACCTTTGTAGAACATCTGCTTACATCTCTAGCAATGTCATCTTGGGCTTCATGATTACATCTTTCAGGTAGTGTTTGGCTAACCAATTGCTAGTAACTAGGGAACCAAAATGATAATTCCTAGCACACAGATGAATTTCATTACAAAATTTAATCTGGAATGTCCTTTCATTGTACTTCCATCCAGCTGCAACCTTAAATGGACACTGCATTTTTTATTGTCACTGCTTCCACTACCACACTTAGCTATAACCCTCACTCTATCACGTTTTTTCAAAATAAAGCTGGTATCCTCCATGGACTACATAGTTAGTTAAGGAAAACCTGAGTTGAGCAGGTGATTGATAACAATCTCCTAAATGGAGCCTCGTCTCTTTCCAGTCAACATTGGGATCATGCACCCTATACTCGACATCAATATCTTCATCGTCCTCATCTAAGTGGGCATGCTCATTTTGTTGGACACCAGGAATGTCGCCATCATCTACCATTCCATCAATACTCCTCCTTAATATGTTTTCGTCACACAATAAGTTAAGAAAATGATCATCACATAGATTTGAGGGGGCTTTGAAAGTTTCTTCAGAAAAATCCAAGAAGCTAAAGTCAAATGCATCATCATCGAAGTCAGAGTCTAGAAGGTATGTCTTCTCAGGGAGCTTAGGCCCTTTAGGCTTCTTAGTTCCAGAAGTAGAATCCATCTGTTCCATAAAAAAACAACTTGTTAGTTCAATCTTGGAACTCCATACTCCATAGATGAAGATAACCGCCCTCAGAATCATCAATTTCTTGTTTCTATACACGTACCTTTCTACTTCACCAACGATTTCGGAGCTTAAAATTGCGAAATTGGGGACTGTGAAACCCTTCTCAACGTCAAACCCTTCTCGAATGCATGAAACCCTTTAGCAGTGATGGTTCGTGAAAGGTGATGGCTAGTGAATATGTTAGTGGTGACCGGTTGGAACAGGTTACCTGCTGATCACCGGGTATTAGCTCTCAAATGATAATTCCACGAAAATATTGTGGTCACAATAAACGAAAAATTAAATTCAGGGCTTTCCCCAATTTACTTCCAAAAACATGGGACTTTAGTGACATTAGTCCATAAATTAAAGATAGATATCAAATGATTTCCATAATTATATGTATATTAAATGATATCCATAATTATAATTCATTTTTCTATGGAAACTAATTAAATTCTCTATTAATGTCATCAATAATATTCTTTCAGAATAAACTCCCATCTAGGTTTTCATGTATAAATTCGTGTTTTTTTTACAACTCACTCACTCAAAATACAACAAAGTTGCCCGGAACATGGATAACGAGAGTGTATTCTAGCAGAATGTGAGTTTATTATAGCATAATGAGAGTGTATTCTAGCATAATACACTCTTGTTCTCCATTTCCATACAACTTTGTTGTATTTTAAGTGAGTGGGTCCTGAAACAAAACACAAACTCAAACACGAAAACTAGATATGAATTCATTTTGAAAGAATGTTATTGCTGACATTAATGACGAATTTAATTAGTTTCCATAAAAAATGAATTATAATTAGAGATATCATTTAATATACATACAATTATGGAAATAATATGATATTTATCTTTATTTGATTATAATAATAATTAATTTTTACTAAATTCGTATTGGTGCATTCTTGCACACAATAGATATAAGGAACACATGAACCTAGCCTCATATATATATATATATATATATATATATAT